ATGTATTTACATATGTACACTGCTATATTTATACCTGTATCCATAGCTTTGCTTCCTAGATCTTTTCTGTTTCCTTTCACCTTCCTCCTTTCCCACCATCACACCCTTCCTCTGCCTCTTAGCAATTCCTTTTAGCTAGACTGCTGTTGCTCCAGCACACCAGGATCTCTCCGTCCTCCTTGGTGTGGATCTAATTCCCTAGTTGCTCCCCTGTCTATGGTGTTGTTTGCTCACTGCTCCCTTCGCCTGCCTCCTTCTCCCCACAAGACCCTGTGGAACTGCTGGTCCTATTGCTTTCTCCTTGGGCTTGTTTCCCATGCCCCTCTCTTCATTTTATGGTCTAACAATAGGAGCACCAGGTGGGTGGTCCACCTGGACGCCATCTTGACTCCTGACATTTGTAGTTCTTTACTACCCTCTCTCTTTGGGTGTAGACTGCCCTTCTGATTGGAAATGGTTGGCTATTCTAACATCAGGGTGAGTTCAGTTCCAGACATGAAGTGGGTCTAAGGGTAAACGTTTTAGGGTCTTAATAGTCTCTGTGTGTCCAGGGAAACTGGTCTCTTTTAAGAATTTTTGTCCTGTTCCACAGTCTCCTTCCACGCTACCTAGGACCTTTAATGGGTTATTTGTCAGAGGAGTTGTGAGCGGTAGCCGAGTACCCTCTAGTTCTTCTGGTTGCAGCTACTTTTCAGTAGCGCTACAGTTATGCTGTCATGTGCGCTCCCCATTCATGGAGATAGACAAGGGTATTGAAAAGAAAAACAAACAGGTCAGGTTAGATAAGGTCCATGTATCATCAAACTTTTCTAATTTTGACACTCCTACCCTGAACAAATAGAAACACACACACACACACACACACAAACACACACACACACACAATGTAGCTGTGAAATGAAAACAAGTCCAGTGTGTGGAGAACCAGAATAGCAGGCTAATGTGTTGGCTGTGAAGAACAGAGTACAATTGCGTTTCCTGTTAAGTGCATTGACGAGCTGATACCTTACCTGTTAAAGAGCCTTACACACCCTCTAGAGCAGTGGTGCTCAACTTTCCCAATGCCACGACCCTTTCATACAGTTCCTCGTGTTGTGGTGATCCCCCGACCATAAAATTATTTTCATTGCTACTTCATATCTGTCATTTTGCTACTGTTATGAATTAGGCGACCCCTGTGAAAGGGTCATGCAACCCCCAAAGGGGTAGTGACCCACAGGTTGAGAACCGCTGCTCTAGAGGTACCTCAATCAAAACTCCTCACATTTGCAGTCCTCAGAAGGCACGTAGGCCTGATTACATGAATTCTCACCACTGGAATCCTGTGGACTGTAGAGCTGGTAGTTGTAAAATATCATCAACCCTTTGACTCGCACAAGCAGTGAGGACACAGAAGGTCAGCACACCGCACTCCTGGTGTTAGAACGTCATTGTGCAGCCTAGCAGCTGCAGCACAAATAGGCTAGGGATGAAGGGAGCTCATGAGGTCACCATAATGAATCCTGGTTTCACAGCATCACAGCAATCTTTGAGCTAGTGCCACATTCGAAAGTCTTTTACACATATTTTAAAGCCATCCAAAAGCCCACCTTCCATTCCAACATTATATTCATGATAAAGTATTACAATTTTTTTTAGCGACTGTGATATTAATGGATTTGAAAAAAGCTGTCATGTCAGCACACTAGCTCATTTATTCCTCATGGCTCTCCTCCTTCCATTTCAGGCCCCAAAACCAAAAAACAAGAAGTTGAACACATCAGAGTAGGCTCGCTTAATGAAAAAGCCCACTTTTATTACCTAAACCCATGCAAAACTGTGGGGGCAGGTGAAAAGGACAGATACTTTACACTGGCTCTAGGGAGAGACAGGAGGCCTGAAACTTTACTGAGATGTTTCTCACACACCTGAACGCCCCAGAAGAAAAAAAAAGCATCTCTGCAGAACAGATGGATCTTGAGACACCCCGTGCATGACCCAGCTGGGCTCACTGTCCCCTGCAACTCACTGAACTGCTGAATTCATTAAAGGACCAAGCCTCGTCCAGGATTCCATGAACAGTCAGTCCCTTGTACAAAGCATCTCTGTTCCCTCCATTTTCTGCTCATTTTAGACCGACACAGAAAAGACTCCAGTTGTCCAGGGGAGCCAAGAGAACTTTGTAGGGATCTGGATTGGTGTCCTCAAACACAGCCATCCATCTTCAGACAGGCTAAAAGGTCATGTCATTCGACACGGAGAACCAAGGCTCAGGGTGGGGATCTGAACACCTCATGACGCCAGCCCTGAGGGTCACATAAGGAAGGTGATCCTGGCATCCAACCTTGAAAACCCTCATCAACGGAGGGGACCAGCCAAGGGACAGGAATGTAGGATGTGTCCCAGGCCACTGAGGAACTTCAGGGAGCAAAGCATATGGACCCCCAATAGTCCTTACCTAGTTTACCTCTTATAGTTTCAGTACCCAGGTCTTGATAGTACTCACCATTTCCTGCCCAGCCTCTGGTATTGTAAGAGAATGTGCGCTGTAAGCCCAAGAGGCCCTTCAAGGAGACAGGTGGGCGTGGAGTTGGAATCTGGAGGCAGTGTGGAAGCAGGTGAATGTGTGGTCCAGAGCAAGCCAGAGCACTTAAAGTCACCATATATGATGTCATGGAAGCCCAAGAGGGTCACCCTTGTTTCCCAGCTGCCAAGAGTGGATCAGCTCTCTGGGCCTCACATCTGGGGCCTGAAATGGAAGGAGAAGACAGTGCTGAGTAATGGGGGAGTGCCAGGATCCTGGCCTTCCCAGAGCTCTGTCCTTCCATCAGACACAAGGCCAGGCTCCATGCTGAGGGTATCCCCAGTTATGAGACATCCCCAGTGCACTCTTGAATTTTTCATGCAGCTTCCAGCAGCAAAAGGAGTAATTTCCTCATTCCAAAGCAGGGGAGGCATCCAGGTTGCCCACGGGGAAACACGTCCTCCAGGGATCCTGAGGCCTAAGGCTTAGGCTGAGTATTTACCTGGGAGGTTAAGGATTCACCTTTGTACAACACCCATGCTTTTATTTTTTATCAACATGGACACATTTTCCAAGTACCAGTCAATGAACTCATCCAGTATCTCTGGTTCTTACTTAGGTCCATTCACAGGTCTTCAGTTGTACTGTTTTTGAAAAACTTTTTTTTTTTTTCATTTTTAGCACAGTAACTCATGATTAGTATTTTTTCTGTCGATTTTATAACTAATATTCCATTCCTTCTTTTGAGTATTTCCATTTCATTTATCTTTTTGTTTCATTTTGCTTACTTTTCAATATCCGGTCACATCAACACCAGTTCCCAACCTTTCTAGACATCCAGAAAGGTTCTTGAGCACATTCCTTTCCATCTCGGAATCATCAATCAACCAAAAGCATCAGAGAATCATCCAGAGCTTTCTCTGTGGATCAACTCTGATCTATCTCCCTTTTTCTCTTCCTTTCTGCCCCACTCAATGGAATCCCTTATTTGCTGGCCTCGGGGCAAAATGCTCTCCCTTCTCTTAGCTCCCCCAACCTCTGACTTGTTCTGTGCTCATCACAGGAGGTAGGCACCACCCCAGCACCCTACACATATGACCGGCGTGTGTGGAGAAAGGTCTGGAGTGGTGGCCCATGTGTCAACACACAGGCATCTCCTAGGTAGAGTGTGGCTTACTGACAAAGCTCCTCAAGAGGGACCCTCAGACTCTGAGGAACAGGAAATGAGTGTCCCTGTAGTGGCCTTGGTCAGGGCAGAGGGACCTCGGAACTGGGCCCCAGGACCTGAGGGCTCCCTTTTTCCTGCTTCTCCTAGATCATCCTATGAGGGGAGCCATCATGACAGCCTTCCTGAAAGGCTTGGGGTTGTCCTCCGCAGGGCTAGTGATGACCAGGGCCAGGCCACGTGTGAGTTAAAACAGCAAGGGAGGGCACAGGCAGTGAGGTAACTGGGAAGGATCCGGAAAGAGGATACATCAGCAGCTCCCCCTCCTCAGCCGAGATCCGAATCCAGAGAAGCTGTTAGGTTGCAGGTGGCTCACTCTTGGGGACCCGTCTTGGCTCCCCTCTCTGAGAGGGAGGAGAAGCGAGCAGGGCCCTGTTCTCATGCCCAAGCCGGAGGCTGCAGACCACACCACACCCAGGGCTTGAAAAAAGGGGCCCAGCAAACGGAGTGTGGGGGAACGCTGTGCCAGAGGACAGGAGGGGCCACAGGGACAGGAAGGTGGGCTGCAGATCCTGCCCTTCCCACCCTTGGGAAGCTTTGCTGCAGAAGCTTGGAGACCAGAGGTGCCCGTGGCAGGTAGGGGTGGGGATGGAGGAGAGGGCGGGGCGAAGGTCTCCTAACAAGTAACCTGCAGAGGCAAGGTTACAACTGCACAACCTCCTCTTCCCCCGTGCCTCCCCCTATGTGTGCATGCCACCACGCAGGTTCACTTCAGGATGCTCACTACCCCCATCAAGGAGCTGGTAGAAGAAGCCCCGCCTCCCTGCCTACCCTCAGTTGGTCCTCTTGCTCTGAAATTCTCCCAGGAAAGTGTTAAGGGACAGAAAAGCCCAGAACAACACAATGTAGTAGTGGACACGTGGGGCCCCTCTCATGACACAAGGCATGCACCAAAAGTCAGAAATGATCCCCGGGGCCATCAGACGGCAAGCCTCTGGTGACATTTGCTGGAACTTAAGTACAGCCTTTAAAAAGAAGTGGCTTCTGTGGTTTGTAAACTTGGAACAAGCAAGGTGATTTCACAGCACCCAAAGAGCCCATGTTCTATGGGTTTCTACTGCTCTCCTGGGCGGGGGTAGATTCTGCAATATCCCTGTGTTAGCCCTGGTAGACTAGAGAAACAAATCTAGGGAGACTCATAGGTGTATAAAAAGGAGCTTTATATACAAGAGCAATTGACTATTGAGACAACATTCCATCCCAGTCCAGATCAAGTCCCTAAGTCCAATATTAGCCCATATGTCTGATACCAATCTAGAAATTCATTTTCAGACTCACAAAACACCTGCAATGAGGCTGAATGCAGGAAGATCACAGGCCAGTGGGTAGAAAGTCTTGTGGATCTGGTGGCAGTAAAGTCAGCTCAGCACTGGCAGGGGTCTCCATGTGGCTTCTCTAGCTCCAGGGCTCTAGTGTACCTCCATGTGTCTTGTCAGCAAGCCTGCCTCGCAGGGAGTGAGCGTGTGTCCTGCATCCAAGGAGTTTTTTATCTCCTTACCAGCTCCAAATGAGGTCATCAAGCTGCGACCTGATTACCAAGCTAAACTCTACCCCTTCCTCTTAAGTCTCAAATTGACAACAGATTATGTAACTACCAGAGACCACCCCTATTATGGTACCAGGAGTGGGGTGCTAGAGAAACAAATAAAGATGGGGAGTGGATGTTTGTTTGACCTCGGCCTCATAGTAGTTTTTCTTCTTTGGGTATCTGGAGGTCAGAGATGGCCATGCAGTTTACTGGGCCGTTTTCTGGAAAGATATGGGAAGTTAAAGTTCTGATTATCTTGTTTGGTTATAGTCTTTGGTTATTGCTGTGTGAAATGGCAAACATGAACGTGATTAATGTATATTTTGAGCTTAGGGGACAAAATCGCCCCTTGAATTTCTCAGAGCTGCTTAGCAAAAATGACTGACAGAAAGCCTGGCCCCAGCTTGATGCTGTCAGAAACCTAATCCCATATTTTGTATCAATAGAATAGCTTAGATAAAGATTAAGATAAACTAAATAAGGATTGAACTTGACTGGTTTAAAAATTGAGATTAGTATCTGATTCCACTTGTCTTGAGCCACTAAAATTTGATCTTTCGATGGGTTTAGGACATGCCTACAAAGAAGGGTCTGAAAAGATAAGCCCTACCCAGTGCTTTGGAGTACTCAGGACATTTGCATGCAAGAGACTTGCTTGGGGGCAGTTGGCAGATGGACGAAAAAGGAACTCTGGCCTTTGGAATTTTGTGCCTGAGGCTGGAAAAATCTGGAACCTTGAAGAAAACAACTCTCTAGGACTGAACATTAAAGGAAGCCTGTGGGCAAGCGGAAATGTTTGCTAGGTGACCACCTGTTCCACTTGTTGAGTGGAAGTGGAATAAGTGAAGCAATAAAGAGACGAGGTGAGTCTGGCCTGACACCTGCGGACCTGGTTCACAGGAACTAGAGGAGAAGACTAGAGTGGGTTGACTGAAGTTCATGACCTAGCGCAAGGGAGCTGGGGTTGACAATTTGTGACAGGCTCATGGTCTAAAGGCAAGGAAGCCAATGGACACCCTGTGGAGGCTAAGAGAGGCAGCCCACATCGAGTTGACCAGAACTTGACCAGATAAAGAGAAGATTTTTAGCCTGTGAACTGGCATTTTGCAGTTGACTTTATGGATGGCCTGTCCTGATTTGACTTTGCTTATGGATGTGGATTTCACAAGGTTCCAACTGGAATGAAGATTCTTCACTTCAAAGAATATTATTGTCTCTTCAGAGCACTGGGTTGATGTAAAAGGGAAGTATAGAAATTGGATACTCAAAATTGGGGGGATAAAGGCATGAAGTGGTTGGCTTATGAACTTTCATAGGTGGGGGAATATATTCATAATTATAGGATACGGTATAGGTATTACTTAACTGCAATTGCTAGGGATAGGATATTTGTTTTGTCATTTATAGAATATTATGCTTAAATGAGGTGGCACATATTGAATTGTATGCATTTAAGTTTTATCCTGTTAAGTACAAATATGATTTTATTATTGTTTGTTTGAAAATTATATATGGCTAAAGAGTTATGTGAAAGTGTCAAATTGACAAGGGTGGTCTGAGGTAATTACATCACCTGTTGTCAATTTGAGATTTACAAGTGAAGGGGTGGAGTTTTGCCTGGCAATCAGGTCACAGCTTGATGATCTCATTTGGAGCCGCAAAGGAGATAAATAGCTCCCTGGAGGCAGGACACACGCTCACCCCCTGCAAGGCATGCTTGCTGACAAGACAATGAAGTTACATTAGAGCCCTGGAGCTGAAGAAGCCATGTGGAGACTCCTGCCAGCGCTGAGATGCCTCCACTGCCACTGGATCCACAAGACCTTTCCACTCACTGGCCTGTGATCTTCCTGCATTCAGCCTCATTGCATGTGCTTTGTGAGTCTGAAGAGAAATTTCTAGATTGGTATCGGACATATGGGCTACTATCAAACTTAGGGACTTGATCTGGACTGGGCTGGGATGTTGTCTCAATACTCAATTGCTCTTTATATAAAGCTCTTTTTTATACACATATGAGTCTCCCTGGATTTGTTTCTCTAGTCTACTGGGACTAACACAATCCCCCACTTTCCCTGTGGTAGACCTTCTCCTAAGTTTGTGTCCTAGTCTGAAGGCAGTGGCTAATTTGGGAATAAAAGACTGTTTAACAGGAGGGTGGCAACAGGGCAGGACTCTGAGGGAATGGTCATTTCCATGAGACAGGCTAAGGGAGGAGGGGGAAAGAGGGTGGCAGACAGGCAGGAAGCTAATGGGGGTGGGGGCGCGGCCTTCTCGTTGAGGCAGCTTAAGGGAGGAGGAGGGTTCTGGAGCCAGAAGGATTGCATGCCCAAGAGTATATAAGATTGTGAGAGAGCATATTATCCCCAAGATTATATGAGATGTGAGAGATATATTCCTCCCTCAGTCTGGTTCTGGTCACCATGGGATGGGTGAGCACTTGCATGTCTCGTCTGTCCTTTCTTTAATTTACCTGTCAATTACATGACTGCCACCTTGTCAGAGTAACCAGCCTCTAACAACTGAGGAGTCCGTAGGCACAAGTGTACAGTTATAATATATAAAGATCATAGTAGTTAAAGAAGATAGGAAAGATAAGAGTAAGAATAAAATAAAGGAGTCAGACACATTTCATAGTAGCATGCTCACCTCCGGGATGGCCATGATCTCAGCCGCCAGGTCCATGTAGAGAGAGAGAGTCTTTATTGTCTTGGGATATTTATAGGTAGCCATAAAACATGCATATTCAGTAGTTACATACGTCACAAAATGGGTGGTGACCACAGTAAAGTTCCTGAGCTCACAGGTGAGGAAACCTAATACCTGCCTTGGAGGAAGGCATGAGGGGAGATGGGTGCTGTGGTGGGAGGAGATGATGAGGATGTTTGCTTCTACAGGGAGACAGAATCAACCATGTGCTCACTTTAAGGCAGCATAGCTGTTGGGGGAGAATCTGTGGGAATGATATTTAAAGCAGAATAATGTACTTGGACTTTATCTCTAACTTACCAAAGTGATGGCTGTCCTACCGTGAAATACTAGCTTTCCAGATTCCCTCTGCTATAAGTTAGGTAATATAGTCCTAGTCATATTACCCTCAGTATTAGTTTTCCACAGAGGCTGGCCCCCCACATTACTTAAGAGGTTACAAATAACAACTCAACAAAAAGAAGGTAAGCCACCATGTGCAAAGGACATGAATAGGCATTTCTCTGAAAAAGACATACAAGTGGTAATAAGCACATGAGATGATGTTCAAAGTCATTTGAAATAATGTAGAACCAGTAAAATGTAGAAAGGAACTCAAGTCCAAAAGAAACCCGCTAACTGGTTGTGGTAGTTACATAATCTCCTGTTACCTGGCGAAGGAGTGGAGTCTGGCCTGTCAATCAGGTTGCAGCTTGATGACGTCATGTGGAGGCGCCACAGAGATAAATAGCTCACTGGAGGCCAGATGCACACACACTCTCTGTTTCATATTCCTATGACAAGACACATGGAATTATGCTAGAGCCCTGGAGCTGGAGGAGCCATGTGGAGACCCACGCCAGCACTGAGATGCTTACACCACCACTGGATCCACAAGACTTTCCATCCACTGGCCTGTGATCTTCCTGCATTCGGCATTGTTGCCTGTGTTTTATGAGTTTGAAGAGGACTTTATAGATTGGTATTGAACATTTGGGCTACTATTGGACTTATGGACTTGATCTGGACTGGGCTGGGATGTTTTCTCAATATTCAATTGCTCTTGGATATAAAGCTCTTTCTTATACACATATGAGTGTCTGTGAATTTGTTTCTCTAGTCCACCCAGACTAACACACTGGTCAAACAGAGACAGGAGGAACCCCAAGAATATGATCCTCCATTGGCCTGCCATCCAGAACTGCACTCACTTTTGCTTTAGGACTGTTAGCCGCCTCGGATCCAAAGCACAGTGTTCGTCCAAGGACAGAGGTCAGGGGGTTAGGAAAGAGGAGAAATGGGAAGAAGAGGGAGGAAGTAGGGCAAGCAATGATACATTGAGGGGGTTACAATGGAAGATAAATTGTTAAATATAGAACTATGATCTGCTCTGTAAACCTTCACCTAATTCACACACACAAAATTAAAAACCAAAAAATCCAAAGTCATTAGTAATTAGGAAAATACAAATCAAAACAAAAATGAGATACCACTTCCTACCAAGAATGATGGCTACTCCTAATGGCAGTAATTTAAAATGGTATTGCCCCTTTGGCACATGTTGTAGAAACACCTCAAAGGGCTAGATGCCAGTGGGGGTACAGGTAGACTCCCAGCTCCCAGACTAGACACTTCATATGGTGCCATCACTTGTTTGACACTGGGGGCTTGGGTGATACAATGAATCGGAACAGGTCTCAGTGGAGCTTTCAGACCAAGATGGACGAGGAAGAAAGGCATGGTGACCTGTTTCTCAAAATCCAACCACAAAATTCCCAGAATCACAATGGCCCATTTCATTTCACAGTGTGAGGGTAACTATTGGTCACGACGACGACGAGCAGCTGAAAACAGTACCATAAAATACCAAGAAAAGTACCTTACAACTAATCTAATGGCATTAGATTAATGGATTAATTTTAAATAATGTTAAGTGCGATAATTATGCATTTATTCTTATACAAACACAGTGTAAAGAGTGATCAACAGTATGACAAATTATTGAGAATGACAGTCATGCCAACCTTAGGTGTGAGTCTTGAGCGTAAACACCAGGATATTATCATGTTGGGCAATTACTGTACAAAAATCTAGAGTAATGAGAAGATGAAGGGTAGGCGATCAATTCAAAATTCAATTATGAAGGGCAGGTTAGTTGGAGTACCTGGCTTTGTGTGTCGCTCTCATCACCGATGGAAGTAATTTACCATGGTAATTCTCCAATGCACAAAATTCCAACCAATATCCAGATACTCTCAATACAGAATTACAATCTCATTGGTCAGGTAAGAATGTTTTTGTTTGTGAGTGACAAAACACCTGGAAAATGGAAAGAATTGTATCAGTTTATCCTCTCATATAACAGGAAGCCCAAAGGTCACACTTCAGAACGGGCCAGATGTTCTATGCAGGTTTTCCTGCCCACTCTACCTCCATTACACAACCCTCACATCCTCATTGTGCTAGGTTGGCTGCTATATGACAAGGAAGAAGGCGGGAGGATTTTTTTAGGCTTTGCATCGTTTTCACAGAAATCTTAACACTAGATGACGTTTCTACCCTATGAGGAAGTCCATTGTCAAATTATTGCAATGAGAAGCGGGGCACTGATGTTCAATGGTAGAAGTCCAGCACTGGAGGGCTCCAGTCTTGGCCAAGGCACCTCATGCTCACCCACCCCGTCCGTGAGTGGGCCTTGCCTGCTGTTCTGCTGCCAAGCAGATGTCAATGGAACTGCCTGACTAAGAAAAGCTTAACCATCTACTTCCAAATATGAAAATTGGCCCAGGAACTTCAACAGTCATTTCTCCAAAAAGATAGCCAAATGTCTAATAAGCACATAAAGTGATTCTCAATGTCAACTAGTCTGTGTGTGTATGTTGCTCTCTCGTCTCTCTCAATGAGTAGAAAGCTATGTATCTCTCCCAGGGAGCAGCTGGTGATTTTGAACTGCTGACCTTGTGGTTGGCAGCTCAAGCACTACACTACCAGGGCTTCCCATCAAGTCATTCACTACCACTGAGTCCATGCCGACTCACAGCGAGCCTACAGGACAGGGTAGAACTGCCCCTGTGAGTTTCTGAGACTAACTGTTTACGGGAGGAGAAAATCCAGTCTTTCTGCCTTGGAGCAGCTGGTGGTTTTGAACTGGTGACCTTGTGGATGGAAGTCCAATGTGTAACCACTACACCGCCAGGGCTCCGATCTAGTCACTGGGGAATTGTAATCAAAATGGCATGAGATACTACTTCATGGCGCTGCAGATGGCTATTATTTTTAAATGGAAAAAAAACCATGTTGGTGAATACGTAGAGAAGTTGGGATCCTCTCACAGTATGGGTGAGAATATAAAATAAGACAAAACTGAAACCCAAACCAAACTCACCGCCATGGAGTCGATGCCGACGCAGTGACCCCATATGGCATTACCACTGTGCAAATCATTGTGACAGTTGTTCCACAAGTTACACACCGAATCACCATATGGCACGCACATCCACTCCCAAGTTGTCACTGAGAACCCATGACCCGCTCCTGTGAAAACTGCTGTTAGATGAGAGTCAGCTCAGACCCACAGAGACCTGACAGACAATAGAACGCAACACTGCGTGGCCCTGCACCACCCTCACCATTGTCCTCATGTCCAAGCTCACTGTTGCTTCCACTGTGTCCACCTATCTTGTGGTGGGCTTCCCCTTTCGGTGCCCCTCTACTTTCCCATGAAGATTACAGCCCAGAAAACCCTGGGGAGCACTTCTCCCCATCGAATGGTGTCACCATCAGTTTGAACCAATTGAAGGGCACGAATACAAACTGAACCTCTACTAAAAGGTTCATCAGGTATGATCGTAAAATGAGCCAGAAAGAATATGCCTGCTATTTTCAAATAGGGGCATACCTGACCATAGGTATCCATTCATCTACTGGATATCATGTTGTCTGTGAGTAGAAATAAAATCGTGATACAATTGCAAAACAGAGGGAGATTAAGGAAATAACAGAACTTTCGCAGTGAAATAAAAAGCCAAAATCAGAGAGTGGAACAACAGTAAACAAATTCAAAACCAAAAGATAGTTTATATGCTTAGAATACCATTCCAGGAAAAGTTTTCTATAATCACTATGATTGCTGGTAACAGAGCAGGTTAAATCATCATCCTCTTAAAGAATAAAGTACTCAAAGCTGAAGAATATGATCAAAGTAGTGAATTTGAAGAAGTGTTTCATTAGAAAACATGATATCAAAAAGGGAAGGATTTAAAAATGAATACTGATTTTACAAAGACAGTGAAAAAGAAACCTAAAATTCCTAATTAAAAATTGAGTAAACCACCATGCTGATCGCAGCCCAACATGTAACCACGAGCCAAGCAAAAATTGCTACAATGCTGCCCAGCTCCTGAGTAGCAAGGCGCATCCATGCACTCCCAGCCAGAGTGTACACCCAGGCAAGTAGGAATCCAGAGCTAAGCCCCTAACCACGACGGCCCCAATCTCAAAATGTAGCCAAAATGTGGTGTGTGGGTCATCTAGTCTTGCAAATAATTCAAAATTAGCTGCTCTGTGGGGGGCCATGCAGGGGGGATGAAAAGCAGACGCATATCCCGACGCAAGTGATGGCCTTCCCTGGAAGGTTTCCACGGTCTAACCTGTGGATTCAGGGTGCACTGGCTGGTGTGGCAGAGTTCGACTACCTTCAATGGCTCCTTTTCACCCAGAATAGGGCCCAGACCCCCAAGTCATCGCCCTGGGGGCCACCCCTACCTAAACAACCCTGCGGTAGTACAGTCTGCTAGTAATCCCGAGGGTGTCGGAACGTTTGTGGAGAAATCCACGCGCTGACATTCCATTCTTCCAGCCAGCAGAGTCCCGACTTCCTTCCCTAGTCCGCCCACCACTCTTTCCTGGCCTGGCCCCTGCGCAGTGGGGAGGAGAAAGGCTCAGACCTCCTGCCGTCTCAGGGCTGGGGGCGCTCAGAGGCAGGGTCCTGTCTTGTCCAGTGCTCCCCCAGGCCCCTCGGGAACCCGGACTCCGACCCCGGACTGGAAGGCGCCGCAGGGCACCCCGGAGGATCGGCCCACCGGGCTGCACCTTCCCGCACCGGGCCTCCAGTCCAGGCTGCCCAGGCTCCCGCCCCTGCCAGGCAACCCGCAGCAGACAGCAGACCCGAGTCCGCACTTACTGAACCCCGCCGGACAGTGAGTGACCTCGCCCGCCGGTCAGTTCGGGCTGTGCCTGCCTCGGACTCTACAAATCGGGCGCTGGACTCTCACCTGGGCGCAGGACGCCCCTCCGCCCCAGTGCCCCAGCCAGGCACAGGTAGGAGGACTCGCCTTGTCTGAGCCTGCGCTTCCCTCGCAATGACGTCTCCGCAGCCCCACCCCCAGAATGAGTCTCCGCAGCCCCACC